CTTTTGGTGGAATTAGTCAGTCTCTCTCCATGAGTCTCTCTCCTCTCTCCATGAGCCAGGGCTCATGGATCAGAAGTCCTCCCCCACAACTACAGCAGATCATTGCAGTGTGGTTGGGCTTGGGCATAGTTGAAAGGACCTCATGTATTCGGTGGGTGTTCTGGTTGTTCCTGGTTTCAAAGTGGGACTCTGTGGAACTCCAATACCGTACATACTCAAGCTGTCAGATTTGAACAGCTTCATTCACTGTCAGACCTTTTGCATGACTGCCTTTGCTTAAGTTTGCCATGGTCTTAGAGGATTCTTGGATGGTGTCGTCTGGACCTCAAAGATGCATATTGGCACATCCCAGTTGATCTAACTTTCAGGGACGGGTTAGGTTTCATCGCAGGTCGTCAAGCTTACCACTTCAAGGTTCTGCCCTTTGGCTTGAATCTGGCTCCCCACATTTTTACCAGGTTAGCATGAGGTAGTGGTGACCTGGCTCCATCTTTTGAAGGTTCATATGTTTGCTTACCTCGACGACTGGCTGGTTTGGGTCTCCAGTCAGTATGGGGGCCCAGGGATCTGGTTCTTCCCCATCATACTAGGTTCAGGTTCCTGGTAATCTGGTGGAAGTTCCAGTTGGATCTGCTCCAGGTTTGAACTTGGCTGGGCCATGTTGGGACTCTGGGTCAGCATCTCTGTCACTGCCCCCTGTGGCTCTGCTCCACCTGTAGCAGCTTCACCATCTGGTGTTGATCAACCCTGGGCGACTTGTTGGTAGATCAAGTAGTTGTGCAAGAGCCTGAATTTTGCCTGGCAATCCCTGTCTGAACCCCCTGGACAGGATGTAGCTCTGGGTGCTGTACTGGTTCCTCTGGTTCTGTCCTTTTGCTGCTGCCAAGACCATTGGGTTCAAGCCTCACCTGCCTTTAATCAGCTCTTGCTTCATCTGCTGCTTCTTTGGACTTTTCAGGGTTCAGTCCTGTGGTGCCATCTTCCCCCATTCACTTGATGTGTTTACAGACAGCTGCTTCTGGGGTGAGGCTTCGTGACCAGCACTTGCTAGGCCTTCCAGGGTTAGTGGCCGGGGCCGCTCTATCGGGCGAACAGCATGGTGCTGAATTTGTGGCCGTGTGTTAGGTCCTACTAAGGATTCAGTTTCTTCCAGGCTCTGCTCTCTGGTTCCTTTCTGACATCTACCCAGCTGTTCATTTCCTGAACTGTGGAGGTTTGCTTCAGCCCTTTCCCCTTGGAGCTGAACGTTTTGTGTAGCTTGGCTTCTGGAATCTCAGGGTTTGGTTTTCTGTACAGCTCATGTGCGGATGTCCAGTGTTCTTGGGGAACACGTTCTCTCTCTTCCGCCCCATTTCCACACAGTGGACCATCAACACATGTCCTTCTTCTGGGTAATTAAGGCATTTGGTCACCCCCAAGGTGAACTTTGTTTTGGCATGGAACTGGCATCTTCCCTCTAACATGGCTTCATTTGAGATTTGGGTGGTTATATATAGGAGCTGCCTAGTATGGGCCAATAGGCCTTCTGCGGTTACCTTTGTTCTTATGTTCTTATTTCCTGATCGGGAGGCTCTCAAGGTGGATACCTTTCACTTGGACTGATCAAGTTGGGGGGTGCATATACCTCTTTTTCCACATTCAGTTTTTTCTCCAAGTGTTGTCCAGACTAGAGTTGTACTCGGGGAGGATGATCCCTCTGGGCCCTTGGCAGTCGACTCGGCCTTGGTTTCTGGCTCTCTTGGCTCTTCTGTCCAAACCTGGGCATTTTTTTGCAGCTCTGCCTCTATCAGTAGATCATCCTGGCAATGTATCTCACTCATTCGAATTTCTCCTCTGCTCTACATGTCTAGTGTTTCTGATGCAGGTTTATCTCCATCTGTGTGGCAAGCAGATGGCTGGGTTGTTGGTGTCCAACTTGCGTATCTTCACAGCGGTGGTATGAAGTTGCCTGGTGCTTCTTTGTGCCTATTCATTATTTTCCTTCAGTATCCATTCAGGTTGTCCTGTTCTTGTACCTGGATGGGGTTCTGAGAGTTCTACTCCATAAGCCCGGCCTGGGGCCCAGGCTTGACTATTGAGAGCTTGGTCCAACAGACTGTTGCTTGAAGCGGTCCTCCTTGTCGTGGATGTTCATAAGATCAGCATCTTATGCCTAATGCTATTGCTTCTCATTGTTTGGCATTAGCAGAGCCTCTGTTGCTTGTGTTTGGCATCACTATGACTTCATTGCTGTCCCACAAGTTGTCTTGTGTGATTTTTCACCTTCAGTCAGCTCATGCTGCTCTGAGCCATCTTGGTCTCTTGACAAGGTCTTGGCGTTTCTTTCTTCTCCACATTCACAATTTCCCCTTCTGTCGGATATTTTTCTCAAAGCTGTGTTTTTGTAGGCTCTGACCTCTAGCTGCAGAGTTAGGGAGATTTATGCTCTTCTCTGGAGACTTTCAGCCCAAGTGGCCAGTTTGTTCGTCTGCAACCTTCTTTTATTCTGGCCAAAAAACCAGCTGGTTTCTGGAGGGGTCCTTTGGTGATTGATGCTTGGTGGTCCAGCAAGGGAGAGAGGGGGTGCATCATTTGTTGTGTCTAGTGGTGGTTCTTCGGCGCTATCTGCGTGCTCCCAGTTCTGCATCTGTGGACACCTTTTTAGTTGACTCTTTCTCCTTTCTTCCCTGTTCCAAGGCTCATATTTCTCTAGTTACAATGTGTAACAACCTGACATTTAGTGAACATAACCAAGCAAATATAGCTTTAGCCAAGAAAATGATAGGATTATGAAAATGTTCAAATCCCAGGATTTAACACAATGTGTCAAAAGGGGCCAAAAGAATATCTGGGAATAATGATGTCTGACAACCTAACGTTAAGGGAGCATAACCAAGCAAATACTGTGCTACTGTATAGCATCAGCCAGAAAAATGATAGGATGGAATACAATAACCTTCAAATCTCAGGATCTCATCACAATGGTTGTACTTTTCAAATCACTTGTGCTGTCCTGTACTGCTCAATACTCACTTCAGAGAGTATTGCTCAGTATTTCTCAATGGTCCAGAGTTAAGCTTAGGGAGTGGGTAGGGGCCCACAAGGAAAGGATGTTGCATTATTTTCAATACTTCATATGTGCAATAAACATTTAGGGGCCGGGAAACGATTTTCTCAAAGTTGCTCAAACAGTTTCAAATTTTTTGTGCATAATCTACTAGGCAAATGCTCAAACTTTGTCTAAATGATCAACAACGTAACATGGAAAAACAAGAGAATCAAAAATAATTATAAAATTGAATCTCGAAAAATCCAGAATTTGAAGTCAGCTTCAAAAATATAAAATATCACCAATTGTTCATTTGGTATTATTATGTTCTCAGAAAAGCATATGATCCTCATTTTCATAGATTTAGAATACTGTACTGTATAGGTTTTCCGTATAGTTTACTGTAAAAAAAAAAATCGTCAATATGGCATTTGAAATATGCGCCAAATTTTGAAAAAAATAATTATAACTCCAAACGTTTAGGGTTTATGAACAAATCCAATCTATGGGGAATGTAAAGCAGACAGTTGTGCACACTACTAGTATATGTAAAAATGGTGAGAATTGGTCAGAAACTAGATTTTTTGAAGCTGACTCAAAGTTGAAATTCTGTTTTTTTTTTTTTTTTTTTTTTTTTTTTTTTTTTTTTTTTTTTTTTTTTTTTTTGAGATAATTCAAGGTAAAGTTATCGACACTGAATATGGTAGTTCTAATTTATTTATTTATGTGTATGTTTTAATAATGCTGGGCATTCGTATACTAAAATGTGAAAGTTGTAGGTCAATATGTTTTGAAATGAAGTTAAGAAAAATTATGAAAACAAATACATTCACAGATGTACTTTGTACGTACATAAAACTAATAGTATAATATATATTTACAACATTTCACAGGGTATGAATTGATTGCCATTGTCTTTTTTATCATCTGTATTGCATATTTACTTGTGTTCAGATGAATGTCACTACTGTATATTTAAACATGCATTGCAGTAGTGCTTGTGTTAGTGGTAAAAAACTAATATATTTCATTAACTTTCTTGCTTATGTATGATAGGCCCTCATCTAGTCTACTCCCCATTGTGGTAGTGAGGGAGCAGTGTGCAGGAGGAGGGGGAGGGATGGGATGGGTGTGGGATGCTGCGAGGGGCAGCATCACTTGTGCTGATGAGGTGAACGGCATGAGGTGGCCGTTCCTTCATCTTCCTCTTAGACATGTAGGGCAGTGTGTATAAGAACGATGCAACTGTGATGTTGCATCCACGACTATGATTACTTCTCACGACTATGATGCCACATAACACCCAATTTTACTGGACTTTTTTTTTTAAATATTCTATTTTTAGTCAATATTTTTTGTTTCCCAGCCCCTAAGAGACTGTAGTAAATTTGGAACATCTGTCCTTTAAATTAATTTGGCTGCTCTTGTGTGACAACAGCTGGTGTAGAGTACTCCATCTTGCATCTGATTTTCATAACCAACTTATTAAATACATTAAACACTTGTTCCAACACTTTGTGACATTTTCACTTTATGAATATAAATCCCTGTTGAACATTTTTAAATAGAAGAATAACTTGTACTACTCAAGATTCCATTTTATATCTTTGCATGAAATGAATTACTTCACCTGGTGTAGATTTTGTATTGGTCTTTTGTTGCTAAGCTGAGACAACAGTTTTATTAATTAAGAAGAAATAGATTTCTTGGTATAAAGTTAAAAAATCTGAGCAATAAAAATTAAATGCTGGATTAATTAGAATATTAACTATTTATAACTTTAATTCTCTCTGGATTTGATGGCTGGCTAAATGCTAATTTAAATTAATCTTCATATGGTTAGATTCATTTCTAATTATAAATTATAAAATCTTTGGATCAGATTTGTTTTGAGCTGTAAATATTATTTTATCAATATAATTTTTACATTGCTTGAATTTGAGATTAAAGACATAATACATTTTGATTGCAGTGCTATGAAGAAGTTCCAGTCTCTTGACCGCACCGCACGCTCAGATCAGTCGGACACAACACTGGCTACTGTTCACCAGAACACCATCACGGGCATCGCCATACACACAGGCGACAAATCCGGCTGTACTGCCATCTCAACATGCGGAGCAGATTCACAGCTGGTTATATGGAACTTTAAGGTTGGTGGCTGAGGGTTTTAATAATACAGTAGACTGTTGTTCTATTGCTCTAATACATTGGTTAAGTATTGTTTAACTGGGCTTGTAAGGTGTAATTAGAAGTTTCACAAATTTTTTCCAACGCAGTAAGATTCATTATTTTCTAATTAGCTAAGTTTACATTCAGGGAAGGCCTGATAAAATACCGGTTTGGAAACATGGTTATAGATTTACAGAACACGTTGTCAGGGGGCTATACTACATGTAAGGTCGCATGATTGTTTCAACTATAGGTACAGCAAATACACAAGAAGGGGATGGGAACTATCATGAGAAAGCACCAAGCCATTACCACTATATAGCACTTGGAAGGGGGGGTCAGGATAAGGATTTGGGATGGGACGGGGGGAATGAATGGTACCCAAGCACTTGGACAGTTGGGAATTGAACGCCGACCTGCATGAAGCGAGACCGTCGCTCTACCGTCCAGCCCAAGTGTGGCAGTGTGGTTGGATATAAGTTAAGAGCTGCCAGGTATGGGTCAATATGCTTTCGGCAGATTTTACTATTCTAATGTTTTGTAATAAAGAGAGATTAAGAAAGGTTTATTTGCATATAAAAAAACAGAGGTAAAGGGTGACGTGATTGCAGTATACAGATGCGTGAAGGTAATAACAGAGTGGATGTTAATAGGATGTTAAATATATATATCAGTGGATAATAGAACACAAAATAATATACCAGTACACCAATTGGATAAGCTTACAGTAAAAACAATGGATCGTGTGTACACAATAAGGGTAGTTGACTTGTGTAAAAAATCAAATCACGTACTAGATGTGGGGTCACTAGATTGTTTCACGTGAAGATTAGACATATCCAATGAGTTTGGTTATGGAAAATAGGAGCTGCTTAGCATAGGCCAGTTTGCCTCTGTAGCTTCATTACATATTCGTATGTTGTTATGAGTACAAGTATGTACATGTATGTAAAGTAGACATTAATATTCACTATAATTAGTATATATATGCTTTCCTAGTGGAAGTCTGTACAATATATTCTCAACCCACAATGGAAATCAGGAATATTTTCACACATTTTCAATTTTGTAATGCTATTTATTAACATATAATTTTTGTTTTACATGTAAATGTTCTCAACTTATTTCCCAATACACTATTATCCTCTGTCATAAGATAACAAGAAAAAGGATAGCATAATACTGTATATTTCTATATAATAATGATAAATATATTTTTTCTGCTGAGCAGCAAGTTAACCCTCAAACCGCGCATATCATATATAAATGATATCAGTGACAAAACCGAAACTGCGCACATCATTTATACTGTATATGATTTCGTGTCTAGCGCTATAATTTAAACGCCCCACCTGGGATAGGGGCAGCTATAGTACAGCCACGACCGATAGTTGCCAGATGCCACCTAGAAAAAATATCCAGGCCAACATTCTTGGGTGTTACAGCGTCAGTATTGAGCAAGCCACCAAGGCTGGTGTACGCAGCACGAGCTCACAGCACCGCTGTTCAGCTTGTGCCCACAGCATCGCCTACAAATACCATAATATAAATGATACTGCTATTATTTAGCAGTGATAGTATTACTGAATCCCCCTGACTGTGATAAAACTGACCAGGATTTTGATAATAGCAGGATTGTGGTGATATTTGTGAGATAACAGCGAGAGGAGTAGGTTGGGAGCTGCCATTTTGGTGAGGGAGGAGCGTCGTCTGCACGACTTGGCATGTTGTTTACTGATGGCCACTATGATCTTTGGGCACCATACCAGCTTATTTGTTCAGGTGTGGTGAGTAAAACAGGTAGATACTTATATATAATGTGTGTATATAGCGTAATAACACCACAAATAATATTGTTGGAGGACAAATATTAGTGCGTCTGGCCTTGAGGGCGGCCACCGATCAGCTGACTGTGTGAGTAGCTACGTCTTATGGCCTTTACTCACCATACAAGCTTAGATGTACAGTTATGGTGAACAAAACATGTAAATACGTATATATAACGTCTGTGTATAGTGAATAAATACAGAAAGAGTATTGTGGGAGGTGAATGAGGGCGAGTGAGGTGGTGTTGAGGGAGGGAGTGGCAGTGAGTGGCTCGCTGGTGTTTGGTGATCACTCCTCGTTGCTTTTTGACTCACAAGACCAACTTAGTAGTTCGTTATGGTGTACAAAACATGCAAATACTTATATATAACCTGTGTATATAGTGTAACAACAGCAAAACTATTTGTTTATTGTTTTATGAACATAATAATTGAATCACTAATATGCACACCATAATTTTGAGTACAGCGATGGTTCACACATTTTATAATATAAATATACCATAATTCACAGTATGGAATAATATTACTGCAAAAAAACTAAGAAAAAATCAATCAGAGACATTGAAATAATTAGGTAATAATATATTTGTGGCAACTGCCGTCTGACAGCTCGGGCGGAGTAGACCTCGTCTGGCGAAGGCCCTGCCAACGCCCCTTTTTTGCCACACTTCCCTACCCTATTGTGGCTAAAATGTGCCACCTACGATTTTTTTGTTATTTTTTCCGTGATCAGGGAACAAAAATGAACACTTCTATAAGACGAAAGAATATTTTGTATTTTTTTTTTTGTTGCGCCTGTGGGTGTGAATTCCATTTGGGCCCCTAGCGGTTTGAGGGTTAACCAACCTTGTAATGCCTCAACCCGTTCTCGCACTTTGCTTATATTCAATATTGGCTTATTTAATAAGTGCATATGTGGCATATTAATTGATTGTTAATATTTTAGTTTACCTTGAAAAGCTTCATAGAAAACACCGACCTCACCTAACCTTCTTAGTATGTTAAGATAAGCATCTTATTGCTTCTTAATTACAATTATTACTTAACCTATACCGTTGATTACAATTATTGATTACAATTATTTAAGTAATAATTACAATTATTACTTAACCTATACCGTTGATAGGTTAAGTAATACTTGTAAATAAGAAGCAATAAGATGCTTATCTTAACATACTAAGAAGGTTAGGTGAGGTCGGTGTTTTCTATGAAGCTTTTCAAGGTAAACTAAAATATTCACAATCAATTAGTATGTCACATATGCACTTATTAAATAAGCCAATATTGACGGTAAGCACGTGCGAGAACGGGTTGCAATGCCTATAAACAGCTGGAGGTGTTTTGGTTTCCTCCACATGTAAATGTCTGCTAATGATTGGCCAGTCATATATAAAAGGAAATAATAATTGTAGTATTGCATAATAATAGTGCTCCAATAACTGGGTAGATTGATAATGCAAATAATATCATCAAAATGTTTGCACAAATATTTGGGCAGAAACAATGTTTATTAATATTACCAATTTGTTATGCCTTTACTTTTATAGAATAGGCAACAAGACAGGTAAAGTTACCTATCTAGTACTGTATTAAATATCTTTGAATTAGGAATAAAAAAATTTCCATCTATTGTATTATGTTAAATTCTCTGGTAGAGTTCCGATAGTGGCTCCTGAACCTAGCAACCTAGATAGCTCCACCCAGTTCAATCAATTCACGAAGCAGTTACCCAAACACTTACGAACCTGTACATCTTTCCTCAATCTTTGGCAGCTTTGTTTACAATTATTAAACAGTTAATGAGCTCCGAAGCACCAGGAGGCTGTTTATAACAATAACAACAGTTGATTGGGAAGTTTTCACGATTGTAAATTCTTTAATAAATGTAACCAAAGCCGTCAAAGATTGAGGAAAGATGTACACGTTCGTAAGTATTGCATAACTGCTTCGTGAATCTGGCCCCAGATCCGTGCAAGGCATTGTAAGCTTATCGGGACCAGAGGCCAAAACCTGTCTCCCTCTACAAAGTCACAAGGTGCAGGTGTATACTAGAACACTCTAACCTCAAGAAAAGATCACCAGAAAGGTGGGCAAGCCAAAATATACAATCAACAAAGTATACAAAGCATAGAAAATGAGACGAACTCCTGAAATGAACACGCCTGGTTGTGAAGCACTTCACTCACTAGGTTACCTGTGCATCACCAAAGAACTGTGCCCATTCCTTCTCGATTCCCTTGCCTTGACACATCAGTCATTTAGCCTGGCGTGCCACACACACAGGCTTCGAGGTTAGCATTCATTTAATCCCAGTTTTTGAAATAAGTATTGACTGTCCTGGACACTGTTTTTTGTCCTATGGGGGGTCGTTTGCATGTGTATTTGTTCTGTAATTTAGTATTTGCTTCATGATGCATGTTTATACCTTACTTCTTTTGTGGACTGATGAACTGTTCACCTAAAACTGCTTCTGCATAGAGTGATCATTTCTAGGTTTTCACTGGTGTTGCTTCTGCTCAGCCAGGGTTGCCTTCCTTGGTGGAATTGGTGGCTTTCTCAGAGAGGCCAGCTTCCTAAGGAAGGTGCCTCGCTAGCAGCAATGCAAAGGTCTTTCATTCATCTAAGAGATTGTGGATAGAGGCAGTTGGAGTTTTCATATAAGGGTCTCACAGGGTGCTTGCCCTTGTTACATGGGCAGCCACCACAGAACTCTTGAAGTGCTCCTTGTGGCTCTCTGAGGGGGTCGCCAGATTCTGGCTCTGGTCTCCAGTAGGGCAAACAGAACTCCTGTGACTGATGTACTTACCTAGTTATGCTTGCTGGGGTTGAGCTTTGGCTCTTTGGTCCTGCCTCTCAACTGTCAATCAACTGAAGTACAGGTTCCTAAACCTATTGGGCTGTATCATATCTACACTTGAAACCGTGTATGGAGTCAGCCTCCACCACATCACTTCCTAATACATTCCATTTGTCAACTACTCTGACACTGAAAAAATTATTTCTAATGTCTCTGTGGCTCATTTGGACACTCAGTTTCTGATGTGAAATTTTTGATGTGAGGCAGTAGTGAGGAGGCGGCTCAGTGAGGTAACTTCAGGAAGCCACTGGGGCTCTACCAGAAAAAGAGTCATTTCATTACATTCAACACTGGTTTTTAGTGCTAAATTAAAAATGCAAGTTAACAAGAACGATAAAACGTGGAATTTTACCAAAATAAGAAATTTTGGAATGCAGAATTATTTATTCAATAATAAAAGTATTGAAGTCAAGCATATACATTTGTATACATATTCTTTCATTTAAGTGTGAAGTATAATTTGCTTTGTTTTATATTTTTGGTGATTTCTTTTACAACATTATAATTTCTGTACGTCATTTTCTACTTTTATTAGGCTCAAGGTTTTGTTAAAAAGAAAATTGTCTACTGTACATTACTAGTACCTGCTTTTCCATCTAAAGTGAAATGGATCAATAATAACTTATTACATTTGTATCCAGTATTTTCAACTTCCATACTGTATATTCAAACATAAGTTCATACTACATACAGCTAGAATACACCTACAGTATGTATGTCATCATCACATGCACCAAGTCATTCATACAGAGAGGAGTGTTCTTGAGACACCTGTGAAGCTGGGCAGGGGGTTATCAACACGGATGTGAAGAACATCGCTAAACAACGACAAGCTTTTACTATAAACAATGTTTCTTTGCTGTATGTTTATCTTGATAACACTTGCTGTTAAATGTCATTATCTTGGTCACTAGATACCCATCCAGGTTTACTTGTGTAGTTAAAATTTAGTACATTTATGCCACATTTAAGTATAATCTTAAGAGGTTTCCCACTTGCCAGACTAATTTTTGTCACTTACAGTTTACTGATAGTTTAAGGATATACAGTAAAATACTGTATTTAGCTTAAGGAGAACATTAAAGACATCACACACCACGGTATTGTTTTAAGTCATAGGTGAGGAACTATGGTTATCACACATTAATTAAGTCTTCCCTAATTGTACTAAATTGTTTGTTCTCTTTTTTTTTTTGCAGTCACTGGAGCAGTCAGTGTCAGACCTCCGCCTGAGCTAAGCCACTACTTCATGTGCCATATTAACGTGCATTAATATCTTTTGTTGGTTAAAATATTTCCGTGTCTGAAAACTACAAATGGTGCACAAAGAAAGTTTGATGTTGAAACCTATTTTTATTTTGATCTTATCCTTTGATGAATTTCTTTTGTGATTTCTAAAGATTTGTCCGTATGTTTGTTCTATTTTTACAGTTCATTGTTGTTGGCAATTTATTGTACACTTTGTTTTAGAATTTTCCCACAATGATTAATTTGGAAAGTTATATTATCGCTGATTCCAAGCAGTTGAACACTGGATATATTGATTAATTAATCTTCCAATATTTAAGAGAGTTCACAGAGGCATTCCAAAATAATAAAAAACAAATAAAAAAAAGAGGAAAGACCATCGTTTTATTTTCCTTAAAAACTAAATTAATACAACATTGGCATTCTGTGCACTACTTATAAGGCATCCCAATTGACAAGGGTTCACAAGGCTTTGCTAATTTTCTTTTTAGGTTACTTTATTTCTGCATGATATACCTTGGAGGCTAGATTATCAGAAGAACTGTACAGTCCCTACCCCCACCCCACCCAACCATTCTTCGGCTTAACCCTTCAACTGCGCACCACAACTAGGGTACTCTTTAGGTCTAGCATAAGATTTGAAACTTGCTCACAATAAACGGGGCATCCATGCGATGCTTCAGGCCTCCAGCAAACAGCCACCATCTTGAACAAAATTGTGGGCTTCCTCATGTTAGCAGGTAGGCTCCAGTTTGTATTCAGCAATCATGTGTGATGCACTAACCTTTGGGTAAGAGTGTCACCATATAGTTTGCACCACGGCATCACTCACAGAGGAGGAAGTTCGCCAAGAACTGCTTGAATGTGATGTCGATGATCCTGATTGTGGTAGGGATTTAACACAAAAATCAGATACAAGTGAAACTGATGAACCAGTGAGCATTTCGAAGGCGAGGCCTACTCCACAACCACCGCTGCCCCGGCCAACAACTCCTCCACTCCTACAGTGGATTATTACAGCAGCTGTGCCATGTGCTGCTCCTGAAGACTCATTTTCTGGATTTAGTGAACAGGATCTCGATACTAATAGCTGTGCTGTGGACAATCGTAGTGGATTTCGTGTTGTTACTAGGCAGTGGTTACTGTGTCAGCACCTAACCCTGCTAAATGACGCCGTACTCACCTCATTGGGCTTGCGGGGCTTGAACTTCGGCTCTTTGGTCCCTCCTTTCAACTGGCACAGGGAAATGCTGTGTGATGTCACATGGGAAAACTGAGGGAAGATACACCTCAAGTTCAACTTTTCATGCCTACCCTGTGCATATTAGAACATCTTCATCTCCAAGCCAATGTAGTTTTGTTGGAGTTGAGATTCATGCCTGTGGTAGTGTAGGTGGTGGTGGTTCCTCTAGCAGGATGGGGGTGTACTCCTGTAGAATGATGGTACTGTACTGACTTTGTTCCACAAATACCTACATTTGATGATACAGATGTAGGTGCTACTAACATTTTCCCTTATACAGTACTGGTGAAGATGTGTGTGAAATAAACTATACTGGTGCATATACTAGTGGCATGCATATATTTGTGTGTATCAATGCTCTGTACTCTAGCAGATCAGTACACATTATTACATAATGCACAAGATCTGTGCAAAAAAAAAAAAATAAAAAAAATGTATGAGTCAAATATAAATTAAAAAATAAATCTTCGCTGCAATCCTTGTTGCTTAAATGGCTTGCTTGACCAGCCTGGGACAATGGCTCCACGAGCACCAAGCTATACGTGACCTCATCGCAACATTTCTTCATGTCACTATAGTCCAAGTATGATATTGAATTTATTTTTGCTTTCCCATGATCAGTGAACACATTTTAACAATATTAGAAAACAAAGCTTGGAAATGCTTTCATGCAGCACAGAATTGTCGCGTGTAAACAGTGCACAGTGCCTGGGTTAACAGACAAGTTTGTGTCGTGCCCTTCAGCTTCAACTGGAGGGCACTTGCCTGCTTAATGCTATTTTATGATAAATGTTGTGCTTTTCTGGGAGGAGCCCCGTCGGCTCCCCGGAGCTTTACCGGCTGATATACTAATGTCAGACTTTGGCATCAGTCATGTGTATGGAGTTCTAGGGCCTACCGGGGACCACGAGCCAGAACCTGGCCCCCTCAGAGAGGCAAGGGGAGCAATGGCCTATAGAAACCCCCGTGTGGTTGGAAGCATTCTGTCTGCCATCGACCGGGTCAAGCATCCAGAAAGGTAAGCATTCCAAAACAAACCCCTATTCTGGTGAAAATTGCTACCTAAGCCGAACTAGTGGATAGAACTCTTCAACAGAAAACAAGGAAACTAGTATGACGTCATACGTCACCGCGCCGCTGTCTGCGCAGCTCCCCCCTCCCCGGGAGGGGGAAGGGGGAGCCCCAGACCTCCCACGCCGGCTATCCACCCATCAGTTCTTCGGCTGATGCTATAGGCAATGGTTATGTGCTCCGGCTCCAGTGGTTGTTTCAGCACTGTACCTAGAGTGTGGTGTCTGTTTTCTAGGTGGTGCGTGAGCCGGGAGTGATTCTCCAGTACTCGGGCTGCATGCGCCTAGGGTTCCCTTCCCTAGGTGCCCTGTAAGTACTGCCCTTGGGGCCACCTTCCACAAGTTCCTTGGGTCCTTTCCCTGCTTGGCCGTTTACTGCTTGGTTTTCGGCCGCTCTTTGTGTGCTCGGGTGTTCTGTCTCCCTTGTTCGCCTTAGAGTAAGGGGCAGTGTTTGCACTGGTGGGGCGCGGGGTACTGTGCAGCTTGTCTTTACCAATCATAGCGGCCGGCTCTGTTCCGCTTGGGTACGCTGTCCTCTTGCGGGGTTTTCTTTTTCTTTTTGTTTATCTACCTGGTGGGGGGGTCTGCCTTCGTTTTTGCCCCTTGTGTCCCTTGTGTTCTGAGTATTTTCTGGTGGTACCCCTGCTAGGTCCCCGTGAGTGTACACGTCCCGGGGGTTCAGCTCTTAGAAAGTTGTTTGGTAGCTTTGGGTGCCGGTTAGCAGTACCCTGCCTGGGATTACCTGAGCGCGAGTCCTCTTAAAGTAAACGCTCGGGACCCTGGGAAACCCCTGGGGGCGCGCGGGTCCGATGGATGTGACCCCAGAGTCCCCCCCCCCCTCGCTTCCAGCGAGTTTGAGGGTTGCTCTCACCTTTTGTCTCTGGGTGACTCTGTTTTGCCTCCGTCTGCTGCCTGTGGGGTCGGTGACACCTTCGACCCGGAGTCCTGCGAGTTTGGTTGCTCGTTGTGGCTCGGTTACCCAGTTGTGCTAACAAAGCAGGTGCGGGCAGCAGGGGCGTTGCACTTGAGCCTTGGTGGTGGCAACGTTCTCGTGGTTTCCTCCCCGGGAGCCCTGGGGCTGCCCCGTTGTAGTTCGTTTTGGGACTTGGGGGTGTTGGTTGCTTCGGTTCCATCCACGCCCCCTTGTCTTTCCCCTGGTTCACCCTTCCTGCCTGCATCCGGTTCCTTACCGTCTGTAGGTTCGGGGCGGGGTTTTTGGTGGTGTTGAGACTCGGGCAGTCTCGGGGAATTCCCCTTCCGGGGTAGTGACGGGGGCATTTGGGCTTGTTCCTCCAGCCGTGTTGTATGAGTCTGCCAGTGGGCTCCCTTCCTTAGTGTTTTCACGGCTGCCCCGGTTTTCTGGTACGGCCGGGGCTTTGGGGGAACGGCTCGGCCCAGGGGCCTGTCGTGTAGGTTCCCGGGGCTGACTTGGGGGGGGGGGGCCTTGGCCCCGTTAGACCCCGTGGGGGTTTTTATCCCCCTCTAGGCGGGGCTTGTGGTTACGCGGAGTGGGGTCTTTCCTCCCCACTCGCCGTACGTGCTGTTGGACGTCGGCCCCTCCCCGGGCTCGGTTCCTTGGCCTTTGAGTCGGTTGGTTCCGTCCTGTGGTGGGTGGATGTTTCCTCCCCCCCCCCTTTTTGGGACGGTGTTTTTGTCATGTTTCCCCGTTCGATGGGGTTCTGCGTGACTTCTGATCTCGGGTGCGCCTGCGCCTTCGTGTGCCTTCGGGACTAGTGTTGGCTTCTGTGTTCTCGAGGGTACGGGGAGGTTTTTCGCTACTTCCCGCATTATTGGAACGTCTGTCGGCTCCTCGTACTTGTCGCCCTGTTGGGCTACTTGTCGCCCTGTTGGGCTACTTGTCGCCCTGTTGGGCTACTTGTCGCCCGGTTGGGCTACTTGTCGCCCGGTTGGGCTACTTGTCGCCTGGTTGGGTTCCTTTTTGGGCTCTTTGCTTCTTTGGCCGGTTTTCTTGTTCCTGCTTCCTCTTTTGGCTCCTTTTCTCGTACAGTAGTCCTGGCTGGCGCCTTCCCGCAGGGAGGGTGTGCGGTTCGGCCAGCGTGTTATGCGCATGCGCCGTGGAGTTTGTTTTGGTCTGGGCGGTGTTTCAGTGCTGGGGTTTTGCGCCCTTTTTTGCTACAGTGCTTCGCCTCTCGTTCTTCTCCCTGGCTGCGGTATGTGCCCCTTCGCGCCGGGGGTGTCCTGGTTCCCAGTTGTGGGGAGGACACCGCGGTTTTCCCTGTCATGGGTGTGGACCGCCTCCTTCGCCTCTCCCTGTTCTCCTGCGGGTCCGGCAGGATCCGGCTCTGGCGTCTTCACCTGGCGGTGCTCCCAAGTTCTTCTGGGCACGGTTGAGTCGTGTCAAGTTCGTGCCACCATTCGCCAGGTGAGTTTCTGCGGCTGGCGTCTTTTGGCCGGGCGCTGGATGCGGCGGTGTTTATATACCTGTCTTTATTTAGGTATATTTTTGTACGACTGAGACCGTTCGCACACCAGTGACTGTCCCTTTATCACCCCTTCCTGTCCCCCTCATGTGCATGTCCAACCCATGCTGGAGTCATTCAGGGGACCCTCCCTTTTTAATGTTGTGAGGTGTGGGGGTTGTAGGGTTGGTTCTGTACTCACCTGGTAAGGCTCCTGGCTGTGCTTGCAGGATTTGAGCTTTGGCTCTTGGGTCCCGCCTATCTGGTAGAACTTGCGAGATAGTACCAGTGGAGTGCAGTGGTGCTGTTGGCACTTTTGGGGAACACTGTATTACCATCAGTGGTCTGTGCTTGTTACACGACCTACTTGCGAGCATAAGCCTTCTTGCTGGTTCGTCCGTGGGCTTCCAGGGCGCACTGGCCTGTTTTCATATGGCAGTTCCGGCCCGTCCTGGTTGTGGGGGTATGTGGGCCGGTGGACTGCTCCTAGCAGCTGCCTGGTGGGCCATCCTCTGGCCGGTCTGGCCTGACCTTGGGCCGGGCTTCAGGTGTAAAAGAGCTCCCAGTACTTCATCCAGCAGGTATCGAGCGGGGTTTTCTCCGCCGTCGGTCGCCTGGTGCAGGTTTCTGAACCTGCAGGG